GGGGGATGACATTACAGCGGAAATATGTAATCTTTTATAATAGGTTCAGGGACCTTTAATGGATCAAAGCTTGCTGTTGTTTTGAGGCCCCTTTTTAAGTTTTCATCCATCCCAGTAATTGCCCGTTTTATGCCGCCATTGTACAATTAAGATCTCAAACTCTGTTGAAGACGTAATTCAGATGCCTGAAAAGGGCATTTTTGACAAATAGCACCACCTGGAAAACAATTAATGTTCCACTGAAGAAGAAGGCGTTACCGTCTTGAAGTACAGGCGAGTTGATGCAAATGCCATTGGTTTAGCAGGTATTTTGTCAACAAAACAAGATCTGGACAAATTCAAACTTTGCAACAGATGATGACTCAAATGAGTCTAAATGAGGCTGCAACGGATCTGATACAGACTGATACAGATTTGAAATATCTCTGACGTCAGAAACGAGGAGCTCCGCCTATATGGGCAACTCTCCACCTATCAGGAGGAGACAGCCACGGCCATTGCCGTTCGAAAGCGCTGGAGACGCTGTAGTACATATGCCAGGCCTGTAGGTGGCGCTGTAGTCTGCCACAAAAGCAGCGAAGAAGACTTCTCACAGATTCAGCCCTTGCAAAAACAGGGCTAAAAAAGAGCAAATAGAGCGAAATGAGGCATGGCTAAAATACATGATCTGTTTGGTATTTTGAAAAAATACAGTTATGGCCCTACAATATATTATTCAAATATAGCATGATAGGTCCACTTTAAGATGTTGAGAAATTTCCCACAAAACCAGAAGAAAGCCATCAAAGTCTTCAGATCATCCTCTGGTGAACATGAACATCATGGCAACTTGTCAAATAGTTTTCAAGATATTTCATATGTGATTGTGAAAGTTCTCACTCCACATGCATATGCAGCTATAACAGCCTCCTCTCTACTGGGAAGTCTTTCCACAGGATTATTGGACCGCACTGCAGAACAGGAACAACAGCTTGAGTAAGGTAGGACCCTCAGGTTCTTCCCAAAGATGTTTGATGACGTGGAGGACAATCCAACCGAAGTCAAACAGAAAAGGAAAACAACTGTATCCAAGTTACTCTATAGGAGACAGAGGAATTGTTACAGTTTAAAGTGTTTAGCTATAAAACCCTTATCAAGAGCAGATATGGAAAGAGAAGCTTTCCGTGACCAGTTAATGTTCAGCTGCATCAATTAAGCTGGTGATGTCACAGGTCTGCTTAATCTTAGTGCTTTTAACACACTACTACCGGCAATAGTTATATCTATTGATGGGAAAGTCTTCTTTAAGAAGAGTACGTCCCAATATTTAGTTTGGTGACTTCTTTGTTTTTGTATTTTCCATTGATAAGTGTAATTTTTAAGATGTGGCAAAGCTGTGATGTATAAGCTATGGCTTTATGGACACGTCTGTGGTCCTTGTTTGGTGATTTGCTAATGGTTACACAAGCCAAACAATCGTTATGACATCATAAAGTGGCCAAAATCTGATCAGCTCATTTTCAGATAAATGGATCAGGAAAAAAAGTGAGCAAATGTTTTTTCCTGAAACTTTCAGAATCTCTTTAGATAGAGAGGACACGTGTTTATGTATAAAATACATGAAAAAGTGGATTTAGCATAATAGGTGACCTTTAAGATAAAACCGAATTGTAGAAACTGCAACAACGCTATTGTCCAATTGGAAGGAACGCTGCTGTTAGTTTTTGTAAAACAGGGTTTTGTCATGTTGAAACAGGTAGAGGTAGTTGTTTCCTAAACTGTTGCCACAAAATTTGAGGCACATATAGTTTGTTGTGGCATTAAGATTTCCAAAATTGAAACAAAGTAGCCTCTCCAAATCATGCCAGCCCCACACCAAAGCACACAATGAGGACAGGGGAGTCCATTCACTTTTGGTCATACAGAGTAAACGCATGAAGATATTGAGCTTATTATACCGTGTTTTATCCAGGCTCCAGTAGCTGTATACTCATGAGGATCACATTTCTAAGACTCAGAAAGAGAGTGCTTTGATTTGACTGAAGCCCACCTGGTACCAAAACATCCTTCTGCTTTTCCGAGGGGAGACGCTGAAGAAACTTCAGAACGGGGGAGTCTGGAGGATGACAGCAGGCATTATATCACAGAGAGGATAATAAATGCAAAAGTGTTTTGGTATTACTCCGCTTCTCAAACACTAAAGGGATTAAGGGCCCGATCAAGGCTGCAGTGTAGATGATAAGAGTAAAAAAAACAAGAAGAAGAAGTGAGTCACACGCTCTAATCCCCGTCCACCATCCTCAGCAGCAGACATTTAGCATCCTCTCTGCTTCACACGTCCCTCTGAGACATAAGGAGCTTAGATGATGCAGCAGTTTAATTTCTCCTCTAGAAAAATCTAGTTTAAAAGACTTGTGCTCATGGGCTGCTGGTTGTTTAAACTTCTGATAAAACTCAGACACAAGTGGTTATACTAATAGAATATAACATAATGAAGGGTGGATTTCAATATACAGTATGTGCCATATCATTTACCATACCATTTTACTGTTTGAGGCATCTATCTGTTTATTATGGCTGTATTTGATTACTTTGTTCAGATTTATTGCAGTATTTTTTAAGCCATGATTTGACATGTTGAATAATCACAATTTTAGAGCTGAAAACCATCAGTAAAACATAATCATCTATTTTGATCTTCGACTAATAGTCACTTCTTTTAAAAATGGCACCAGTTTTGATAACAGTAGATGAAGATTCAGTACGTTTTAATCCTTTGGCTTGACAACATATTTAAAGACTTGTTCTTACTCTCTAATATTTTAAGATCAAGCGATAAGAAAATATTTAATAAAAATAATCAATAATGCAGCCCTACAGCCCCTACTGTATATGGCTTGATGGAGGATGGTATCCATATTGTCCAAGCCCTTATAGGCAGTATAGGCACCCATTGATAAATAATTAAGAAATATCAACTCAAAGCGAGACTATATCACTTTTGATGAGCTGCTGCCTCTGTGGCCAGGTAAAAAATGTAAGATGTTTATTGCAAAAGCATTGTGTTTCAATGTAAGCAAGATTTCTGGTCATACCAGACATGTACAAAAGCTCTGAGGTGTCTCATTGCCCCAATACAGTTTTAGGAGGAATGATGCCTTTAGTTTTTTCAAAGTATATTCACAGTTGCAATTCTTGGTAAATAAACACAAGATTTGATTTGTTACTTTTTAAACATGCAGTTCAAGCTGAAATCAAAATAAAATCCACCATTGATGTTTAGGGGTGCAATTGTACTTCTTTTTCACCCAGTTAATATTCAAGAAGATATATCATCTTATATTCATTGAATGTAGCTGGATTTTTAAATCCTACCTGCTTTCCTTACACTTTGAACTGTAATAACCAGGAGAAGATTACAGTAAATCCTGTCTATCAGGTGAGGAAATTAAATAATCCAGGTGGGGGCTCGGTGTGCACAGCACCAGCAAGACTGGGGTTTGATGGCCATACCATCCTTTGTTTTTGACTAACCACGCTTTGGTTGCGTTAATGTCATGAAATATATGCCCTATTTTCCCCCTGATAGTCACATTATTCAAAATTATATAACTAAGTGATAGGATGCGGCCTGCAGGCATTAGATGTGGGAGACATTTATGTACCTATACTGACACCTAGTGGTCTTTACAAGTAAGTCAAAGCATGATGTGCAATAAGGAGCATCATACACTTAAAGGGGCCCTATTGTGCTCATTTTCAGGCTCATATTTGTATTTTCTGCCTCTATTGTGACATGTTTGCATGATTTAATGTTTTAAAAACTCTTTATTTATCTCATAATGCCTGTGCTGCGGCACCTCTTTTCACCCTCTGTCTGAAACCAGAGCCCAGTCTGCTCTGATTGGTTAGCTGGTCGGCTGTTTTGATTGGTCAACCGCTTAGCGATGTCCTAAGCCTATCAGGTACAATGTGCTGGAGCACTAGGCAACAGAAGCAAATTTGTTATGTAGTGATGTCATTATGTTACAGAAATAAATAAATGAGTCCAATCGGGATGTTTCAGGCAGGGGGGTGGGAGTGTCTTTGAACTTTGGGAATGTACCCTTTGCAGAACATTTACATGCACAAAAACCAACAGACCACACTACAGTAAGGTGAATCAGAAAAAGGATAAAAGATCCGGTTTGAATTTGCTAGTTGTACAGTAATATCTTCTCTATAATAAATAATTTACATTTCCCAACAAGTCCCTAATTTTTGTTTCGTACAAGTTTCCAAACATTTAAATAAAAGCAAAAAAAACGTTTAATTACACTCCTCTCAAATAAGTCAAATCTGCTTTGGATAAAAGTTTAATTCACAAAAATACATTGACCAATATAATGAAAATGTACTAAAATGTACTTTAATAATCCATAAAAGCTGGAACATCATTGACAGAAAAACACGAAGCATTATTAGAGTTGGTTTAGTATAATATATTTCAGCTTCAAGAGACATAGAAATCAATCCTTATTTTCCCCATATTTCTTCTATAAAAGACCCATTTTTTTCTGAAGCATTATTATGCAAAAAATGGCATTAGAATATATTATGGGAGCTATGAAATCCCAGTGACGGAGTATAAAATTAAGTCACATCAGAGAGAGATATTTGCTGAAGAGAAGTCCATGAACAACAGGGCGAACAAAGAAAAAAATATATAATAAAAATAATAATACATATTATAGACCTTGATCTATCATCACTGACATGACAGGCATGGAGGATAGGTGTATGGCTATAAAAGAAATTCGCACTTTTCCACTTGATTTCACTTCAAAACATCTACACTTAATAACTGATGCATTTTTTTCATGCTCGTTTTTGAATATTTATAATCATACAACTAAAAAGAGGTCAACTTCCATGTCTACGATATTGATATTGAAAAAGATGAAAAACACTGAAGTTCTAACTTTGTTTTCCTTCTTTTCATCGCTGTTATTATCTTTTTTTAGCCGTCCAAAAATGAAAACGAGGGGTGGGGTGGGGGNTGTTGGAATGCTGGACGTTTCCAATCAGAGCAACAGTTCTTCATTACAGCATTTCTGCAACACAATAAAGTGGTTTAGTACACATTCAGCCTGACAGAGATTTACAAGCGCTCTTAGCCCTTGATGTGGCCATTAAACAAACAGACAAAAAAGTGGTAGCACTTAAAGGGTTTCACCTATTTGAGACTAGTGCACCCGCACTTTCAATGGCTTTGCTTATTTATAGCAAATATATCTGTACTGTTCTTATTGTTTTGAGTATGTATCCTTGTGTTTTATTGCAGTCCCTTTGTATAAGTTAAATTAAATGTAATGTAATGCCCTCTAGTGGCCGGTGAATGGCATTACATCTGTGGGAGGGAAACGTAGGAGGAAAACATTTAACTCGGGGACATTAAAAGCCACGACACAAAGCTAATATTTTGGTCTTAAAAAGGTGAGAAATGTATTCCCAATATATATTCTTAGAATTAAGATGAAGTCAATTCTGTTTACATAGCTCAATATGACAAATGTGCCTTCAGGGTCTTCACAATATGTAGAGCATAAAGGACTCTCTATCCTTAGATAATCGATTTGGATAAGGATTGAATCCTAAAAGAAAACCCTTTAAAGAGTTACAAATTGAAGTAACCTCAGGAGGAGCAACACATCTACTATGAAACCATCATGAAACATATGCCATTTGAATAGAATAGACTAATATAGTACAGTTGAAGAACTACGTTTAAAATATAAGTGGTTGTTAATGTGCTTGAGATATTCTTGATGTTCAGAATTTGTATCCTCCTGGTTTTCTTACGTAGCTTACTGAAATGATAAAAACGACACTCAATATGACACAATTATAAATAGATTGCACAGGTGCAATAATGACGTATTAGCCGAGCGGTGACACATCTAGTACCTTGTGTTCCTTGCTTTTCTGTAGTTGTATCTTTATGATTTATTGCACTAATTGCAATAAAGCATGGATTTTCCTCTTGGACAGCAGCATCAGCTAAATGTGATGTTACGTAACCGTTGATACAGTAACTTCTTTGTAAACTTTTATGGAACCGTTTAATGTTTTGGTTGGTGACATTTTTTATGTTTTTTATTAAAAGCAAAATGGCTGTCATGGGCAGTGAGGGCTGCAGTTTGCTCTCAGGCTGTGAAGAGTGGAGGTAAACCAGTAGTGTTTTCACAGCAGGCATGTTGGCTTGTGATATTTACAAAGCACAGAGGTTATAATCAAGATTACGGATGGCTATGCTCCAAATAAATGTTCCAGGGCCTTGCTCTTATACAATCGGCTGCAGCTCGCTGGCATGACCAACCAGGGCACTAACATGGAAAGCAGCCATGTTCGAATGTCATTGGTTTCACCTGCTTTTTTGTTGCTGTGACGGTCTGCTTTGAAAAGAGCTTATTGTGAAGTCTGTTAAAGTTGCATTCAAGGCCTCCAGCTGGAGCAACATCTAGTCTGTACAGTCCTAGACTTCAAAGTTCTAAAAGACAACCCGAAGCTCAATTACTGAGTCTATAAAGTGTAATGACAAAGTAATGCAATAATAAAACAACATGTGGGCACATCTGACTCAACACTGTGCAGCGAAGAAACAAACTGTATGTGCAAAAAAAGTATAAAAAAAGATGCCTGTAACTATTTTAACATCTTGTTTCCAGAAAATCAGGTTTAAATATGTCAGCACAAAACTGCAAATACTCTCTGAGCCTGCATCTTTAGAATCAATATAACATCATATCAAGTATCAGCTTCCTTTCAATTTCTGTCCGAGTGAATACAGCGGCAGCCAAAATCAAAGACTGCAGCTCATGAGGTCAGCAAACTGGAAAATGCCCATGTTGTACAAAGTGAAGGGTCCCATTAACTCTCAGTCTGTGCTGTCCGAGGCTGGCACTGTAACCCCTCTCTCTCTACAGTGAATGAGATTGTGTGTGGTGAGCGGTGGAACAGTGGGGCTGTAATCCCATTAGTGTTGGTTCATTGGGCTGGCCAGTGTGTGAACTGAGCAAGGTGCGGCGGGGGGGGAGGGGCAGACACCGCCCCGGGGCCTGCTGACTGAGGTCCCTCTCTCTCACCGGACCACTAACTGACCAACACAGATGGATTCAGACGGGGAACGCAGTGGGTGGCTCAGTGACCCTGATGTCTGGGCCAGGCACAATAGCACTGTCTGTCAACTAATCTCCTGATATCTGTCATATCAAATGTTTGATTTCCCACCCAACCTGCGTTTGAAAAGCAGAGGTGGGTGTACCATCTCTGCTGTATGGCACTATGGGGTTTTGTTCTGACAAAAATGCCCAAAATGTGTTTTAGGAACAGTTCAGATGTGTTGAAGGCGGGCAGTCTGATGTACTTCGCCATGGTTAGGGTATCACCTACAGTAGAGGGCAGTCAGCACGCCCCTTCTTTAGATAGACAGACAGGAGATTTGATATGGAAGCAAAGCAGCATTTAATAGAGTGGGTGCAACACTAATACCAATAACAGCAAACATATGTTATATTAAAGAGGGATTTATGACCTGGTTAACTTCCTAATACTAGGTCTAAGAAGCTTATAATACATAATTAAAACAACAAATGCCTAGATGTTTTTTTAATCAAGCCAGATATTGAAATGGTAATCAGATCTTTTGTTGTTTTGTATTTGAAGTGTGTTTTTATTCAAATAACCACTTCAAAATGTTTGGCTTTTTATACCAACTTTGGGGTGAATAAAATAAATGTATATTAACACAAACATACAAATGAATCGAGGCAGTAGTAAAACAGCAAATCCCCTGTGCAGTGGGGTACAATTACTATTGTTCCTGGTCTGGTATAGTGTATACCTACAACAGATATGAGTTTTTCGTTTTGCTATGGATTTCTCCAAACATATAGTTATTATGACATTGTGATACTGAGATCATTGTCATTCAATGGTGTGTCAACTTCAATAAAAAAGGGCTCAGCTACAGGACAGCAGGCCACGCATGGTTAAAAGTCGGCATGTATGACACTTCAGCAAGATGTCAGCCATTTGTTGTCAAGCTCTTCTTTTAACTCTTCACACTACATTCTTAGTGTCTACACGTATAACACCATGATTGCCTTTGAGGAGACGCAGGTTTTTCCAACCAGCCATAGGGAACAGATTAGGCTACTACCTTCAATGTTTGGAAATACTGACACCCAGCGTAGTAATCTCCATGTGAGGCTGGGGAAAGGTCATGATTTGTCACTAGACATGCTCAAACTACTGAACCTAAAGTCATCTTTTAAAGGAAACTTTCCACTTCAGGGTGGAAACATTCTGACTGAGACTGAGCGGAGGGTTAACTGGGGTGAAATGTTATCAGGAGCGCATAATAACCCCTGACCTTCTGCTAATGTGGCCAGCAGCTAAAATAAGAATTGGGAAGTATAAAAAATATATACTGTGGGAAGATACCAAAAATTAATGAGACACAAAACTTATACTAAATAAGCTTTTCCTTAACCATTTCTGGCTGCTTAAGCCCATAACAGATATATATAATGGAATTACCATATGTATATAGTGACAGAAGTTGCCAAGCTCCAGCTAAAAAATATCATGTATAATCTTAAAAGCAACTGAATGTAGAAATACGTCCTTACACTTACAGTAGGATGGAAAAAATGATGGCAATATTTACAAAAAGAGCTTTAAGGATAGTAGATGACATGTACTGTCAAGCAGCAATCCAGCACCTATTATCATTATTGCATCACATACAATACAGATCATTAACAGGACAGCTTAAAATAAATAGACACGTTTCTATTTAAGAAAGATTGATGGGAATACGCAGCCTGATTTGGGCTGGTTTCAGCCTTCCTCATTAAGTGTCCGGCCTAATAATAAAAAATGCTGTAAAACGATTCAAAAATGAAGAAGCGATACTCATTTTCTCTGGTAAACTAATGACAGATTTGGATTTCCTCAGACTCAACCAGCAGCTGCAGTCTGCTGAGGTCCACATTTAAAGCCAGCCATCATACAGTGACTCATTCATTCAACAGCAACACGGATGCAGAGGAATTGCTAATGAAAGCACTTCACACGTGAAGGCCGACTCGGGGGATGTTGGCGTGTCTTGAAACATTTACTGGATCTGTAGCTAAATCAGCATGGAAGAAATGCTTTTCTCCGCACGAGATGATGTGCGGAGATGTCATCTTGGAAAGTGACACGACTTGTCCCACACATACGCCTTATAATAGATGTCTGATCAGCTGTCACATGGAATAGTTCCTCTTCAGATAATGACTACATTTATAACCCAGTACACAGAAGAAGTACCCCGCAACTCCGATAAATTGCACTAGAATGACAACACATTAAAACCCTTGATATATAAACAGTGGAAACTACTTATACAATTATGCAAATTGATGGCATAATTTGTTTTGTTTTTGTTTATTTCTAGTGCAGATTGCCATTTATTTTATGTTTGTATATTCATTTCATGAATATAGAGTAATTCATTTGACAGCGTTTGTATTTACTGGCTCACTCCCAAGTATTCTGCCTTTGTTCAGGCATTATAAATCCACTTGACGAGGGCGGCATCAGCCACAGGTACTTCCCTTGTGCACACTTGTTTTCTGTAGGTTGAGGAACACCAAATGTTTGGCTCCTTTTTGGCAGTTTGCCATAAGCCTGAGGGCCGCTATGGGTTTTTATTGGGAGAAAATTACTTTATCTTTCCGGTCAGGATTTCTATGCGCACGAAGCACAAGCCTCAGGTAGCCGAGAGGCAAAGGGTTACAGCGGGGCAGAGCATTAAGGGAGTAAATAAAGTATAATATAATTCTAAAAATTACTTACATTTTCCTTATTTGTTTTTTACATGTTTTGTATGAAATTGATACTATAGGATTATTTCCAAAGCATTTGTGTAGACTTTTTGATCCACAAAACCTTCACTCCATCCAGGTCGATGAATCCAGTTCAAGTGTTTATGTGAAATGAGTTCATTTAGAATAAATGGAACCAATAGAGACTTTTTTTTTTTTATCATTTCCCAGTTATAATATCTGTTGCACATCTACTCTCCATAAGGGGGGGCTCTCTCTCTGAATCGCTCCTCCCGAGTTTCTCCACTCTCTCCTAGCTCCTTAACGAGCTCAACAAGGCACAGTAACAACTGGTGACGTGATGTTAAATTAGATTCCTTTGACTATACTTCACTGCAGGCAAAGAGACCCATAATAGACTGTGATGAACTAAAAGTGAGTAGCATCATGTGGGATGACATAGAAAGATCAAAGCTCTTATGCTACACTAATTAACCTGACAGCCAGCCTGGGCATCATGACCTCACAGAAATGTGAGCTGCTGGGCCTTTGTGACTAGACTATTGGAAATGTTGCACACACACACCTGGCTCAGAGCTGCTGCAGGGGCTGGAGGGGGTCTTTTAAAGCAGGACACAGTTGGATTTCTTTTTCGCCTTCTTCTTTTCCACTGGCGTTTTCCTATTTATCTGTCTGACCAGGTCATAGAAGATCTGAGAAAAGAGGCGACAAACAAATATTTCAATTATTGAACATTAGTACAATCATATCTCCTCTTTCAAACAAGGCAGTTCCAAACACACTGTGCGCCTTTAAGAAATCACTTGAGGCCTCATTACTGAATGGATTGATGCTGCCGTTTACACACATTCGGTTTAACAAGGGTGAAGCACTGAGTATTAGGTATAATCCGACTGAGCTCATTAGCACTTGCATCTTGGATAAACTATACCAGTCTTTGTTTGCAGAAAACTCAGATGAGGTTATTCTTACAATTAGGTCAGCGTTTCAATAAATCCCTGAGCGATAAAAGTAATATTGTGGCTGCTCTTTGAAGACTAGATGTGTGGGCAGGTTCACCAGTGGTTAGTTTCTGGGTGTACTCACATCGAGCACGTTGATCTTTGACTTAGCAGAGGACTCTAAAAAGGCACAGTGGTTCCACTGTCTGGCCAGGTTCTGGCCCTGCTCCTTCCCCACCACACGCTCATCCTCCAAGTCGCACTTGTTCCCCACCAAGATCATCGGCACCTGAGGACAAGCAGAGGAAAGAGTGTGAGCCGTGTGTGTGACTTTGTGTCATAAAAATAGACTTAACTTCATACAGGTAATATAAATAGCATTCTCTCTTTTAAAATATGTAATTCATATAACATAGCGCTGGCATAGTGATTATCTCAATACATACACAATTGTCAGCTCCGATAAGTGGAAATACAACAGATCTGAAGCCCTGGAAAATGCTAATTGAACACAGATGTGTCCTGCAGTTATTTTCAGTGGTAAGCCCATAGGTTCATAAGTAAGCCCATACAAATACACAGAGAAAAAAAAAGTCAAAGGGGGACAAGTAGAGAGGAGTATTTGTGAAAATGCCAGGAATTCTACGTAAAGCTTGGATATTGCACAAAAGTGCTGTACATACGAACATCAGTGTGTCCGATAAAGAAACTCCTTTAAAAGCTGCTGCCTGCCCCTTGAAAGAAAGCTCTCCTTAAACATCACTGCCGAGCACACTGCGGACATAAAAGTCTATAACTCTCCAGTGCAAAGTATTGAAATAGGGAATGAGGAAGTGAGAGTATAAGCAGGACAATATGCACTCACACGCATCCTTAAAGTACACAGTGGAGACATTATTATTATTAAGAGCTTATTCATTTCCATTTGAAGTGGAATTACAGAGTCAGAAAGACAATCAAGAAAATCAATCCATCCCTGTGGGCAGGCAAACAAATCGTTTAGGTTACACAACAGGGACAAAAGAGATTAAGAAATCAATATGATTTTGCAATGATTGCAGTTTCTTTTGCTTTTGTTTCTTTAGAGAAGGAAATCCTAAGCTGGGAACACACAACCACTGACATGTGCAGTTGGTTTTGGAGTCTCCCAAATACCAGACACTTCTTCTTTTGTGGAACAAGTCAGATGTTTTACCAGCCAAGGTCAAAAAAACAAAAACTCTCTGAGGAAGCGAGAATATTCTGGGCATAACACCGGACCCTAACTGTCACAGTGGGCCGAGTCGGGGCAGCCAGGGTGTCGGGATGCGTCTCATCCTGCCTGCTGTTTCCTGACCGTCTATCTAGGGAGCATGCTGGCCTGAGAGGAAGTCATGGCAGCCCCGCCCAGCCAGGATAACATCGCTTTCCTTCCTGAATTTGAACATTTATGCTGGATTTCACGCTCTGGCTGCTCTCTGGAATTACATGATAGAATGTGTGATAGACAGTGTGCGATCAGTCTGCATTTAAACTTGGCTTTACTATACCAGCCACTGTCAAATTGTATGACAACCGAAAAAGGCTCAAGTCTGAGAAAGAGTTCAACGTTTGTCTCAGTTTTCTAGGGGTTCACAGGGTGTGTGTGTGTGTGTGTGTGTGTGTGTGTGTGTGTGTGTGTGTGTGTGTGTGTGTGTGTGTGTGTGTGTGTGTGTGGTGAAGCTTAACAGGCAAGAGACGTAATCAGCTGGTGGAAAATGTAGCAGGCAGCACAACAGGCGCCAATAATATATCAGCTGGGGAAATCTATTTGTGGTGGTGAGACTGCAACAAATAAATCCATGAATGGGAAATCCTGCCCTCACTCCCTTCTCATGGTCCAGAAATGACACTTAGACATGTCTGGTGGAAAAACTGAATGTTTGTAAGCAACATGCTAGCACCCTGACATGCGCTGACTTGTTTAAACTTGAGATATTCTTCCACCCACAAGGCTACTGTTCAGGGGTCGTTTTTGACAGCGGTGTGGTCACGCTCCTTCAGAAAATGTAACACTTTTCAAAGCACTGGATGAATATTCCAGGATCCTTTTTTTCCCTTTTCTGCCTCGCTCTCTCCGGGCTGTGGGGCAGACGACAGGAAGCTGCGATGTTTAGATTAACCCCGTGGAGGTTGCTGCTTGATGTTTGATATCCAAACAAGCCCACTGCACTGCTGAATGACATTTCTCCCAGGGGTCCTGGGAGAACCAGAGGTATGCCCTCCTAACACAAACTGTGAGCCAAGCTGGAATAAAAAGGATGGAGAGAGGGGATGGTAGGATAGAGGTATGCAGGGTAGAAAAAAATGTTCAGAGTCAGCAGCATTAGCAGACTGGAGGAATCTGTGCAGGCCACAGAGAAACCCTTCAGACGCTGTTAACATGCTACAGACAGGTCCCGCCCACAATGGCCTCCTAAAGATCTGACTGTGGGGAACACAGAAAAGGGGAGTACAAAGTACCCCAAATGAAAGGATCTGTGAGTCACAAGCATGGAGTCACGCATTAGTACCATCCGAGTCACACAAGTAGAGACGGAGAAGGCGCCAGGTCATAAGACCTCTCTTACATAAGAATTGTAGAAGAAGGAGGTAAAGGGAGTGAGCTCTTAATACACTGGTGAGTGCTCACCCACTTCATTCTCCTCTTCTAACGACTTTTTTAAGGATATGGAATTTCACCCTACTGTGTTCAAAAGTGCAGTCATTAAAGGCTTGTTAATTGAGCTTGGACCTTTCAAGTGAGTCTGTACGTTTTGCAAGCTTTGCAGTCAATTGTGCGTGGAAAAGCCGAGAATGAGAACAGCTGCAGCAGCAACCAGAATGTCTGCTTTAGAAATAGTTTTAAAGCTTTCGCCAAATAAAAGAGACCTTTTTAAGCATTTCCTTAGGTGGTGCATTCCTGCAAAGGGCAAAGAGAGATAAACAGATGTGCTGGTCATTGAAAGTAAAAGCTTGAATCACCAGCGGACTGATAGCTAACGGGTGGCCATAGTACCCAGATAAGAACAGACCTAAGAAATACTCTGAAATGGAACCAGTTTGAGGGACCTCGAGTGTTTTCTTGCAGCCACTGATCCTGCAATCCTTCTGTTAGCCTGAAGCTAACCTCAGCTCTCTAACCACGTAAGCTCTAATGAAGCACCACAGCCTCACGATCCAGTGTGTTTCTGATGAGCTGAAGCTTTTTTTGCACATCATCCCTGACAGTCCAATCACCCGCACAGAGTGCCAGACCAGAGTGAGACCACAAGGAAGGCCATAGAGAAGAGAGGGGGGGGCAGAGAGTAACAGGAGTTAACTGGCACAGATACAGAGAACGGGAGCAAGAGAAGGACAAACCAAAAGATGGAGACAGAAGATTTTAAAACTTCTGCTACCAGTTGCAGAGCTGCTTTTTAGACGGTTGATAGGGAACAGGGAGAAAGCGAGGAAAGGAAGAAGTAAGGAGAGAGAGAGGGTTATGGTAACATTCACTCTCTTGAGATCACCAAAAAAGGGCATCTGAGATCCTGCTGACGCACTATCTGGGCCAGTAGAGTGCATGAAGAGCGTACTCACTCTACTGCCTCACAATTCAACAGATATACAACAAATGGAAATATGCCTTGAAGAAAAAGCAAACCGGGAAAATAATGACGTGACACGTCCTCTTTTTATTTGCTCTGCTACAGATCCAAGCTGAGGGGCAGACTTGGAGGGAAACCACAGTGCATGTCTGTTAAAAGCAAGACTAAAGAGAAAAAGACATTCCCCTCCTTTGTACTGGCCTCTTAGCTTAGCGGGGACTCTGGCTTCGTCCATTTAAACAGATGAAGTAAAACCACAGAGACCTGCGTGACGCTAACATTAGCTAATGCTAGGCCGAGTACAATACACAAGTTTCAGTGAGTTTCCTTATTGTTCTCACTATATAGCCAACAGACGTGACACCGAGTGCATTATGTTTAGGTAATACAAATGTGTAATTACTGGCGTAAGATGCAGTGATTACAGTGTTGAATAGTATCCATAGCAACAGCACAATCAGGTCCTGATCAATGTAGGCGGCTCAGAACAGAGAAGTGCAGAGCTTGTTTCTGTGCTGTTTTACATTCCCTGTGGCTCTTCAACCCATTTAACCATGATAGGACATGAGAGAAACGTCTGTGAAAATGCGAGGAGCTGATGTTAATATGCTAGAAAGAGTGCAGACTTACATCCTCTGTGTCCTTTACTCGTAGAATCTGTTCTCTCAGGTCCTGCAGGTCGTTGAAGGTGGACTGTGCTGTGATGGAGTATACCAGGGCGAAGCCTTGGCCGTTCTTCATGTACAGGTCCCTCATCGCCGTGAACTGCTCCTGCACAGCAAGATAAAGGGGAAAGGCATGAGCTCTGTCATGTTTCCTCTTAGCATCTACTGTTAATGTCCATTACATACAGTATAACTAATAATCACAATATTGTGACCTGCTCTGAGACTCAGTACATATAGGGACAGATTATGTGTGGTGGTGGTGTTGCTGGATCTCCGTCAAGTCTCTCCACAGCACACTCACACCATTGTGCAGTGTGTGTGAAATACCAGCACCCCACGATTTCCCACTAGAAACGGGCATGAACATGCATGTGGCTTCTGCACAATCAATCTGCATACAATAACCTTTGACACGTACACTCTTCTGCTGGATTAAAGATGGAGATATTCCTGACAACAAGACTTTGAGTCTAAAGAAATGCTGTAAGACTTTAAGCTCAATTCTAACAACATCAGCTTACAAGCTATAGTATATTGACCATATTCACCATCTTAGTTCAGTATGTTAGCATGCTTACGTCAAGGATTTGGTTTCACTGTAAATCTTGTGCATATGTAAAATACATTTGAAACATACAATGATGCTAGATGAGATTTGAAGTGATCAGTTAAATCGTAAATTGGTCGCTGACAGAGAGGTGAACATCTGCACCACATATCATGGTAATCCAACAAATAGTCATTTCACTCAAATCTACAAATGTTCACCTCAAGGTAGCGCTAGGGAAACGTGTCAGGGGATCAAGTCAGTAGGATGAATGTCTTTATGGGAAAACATAACAGTGTCTCAGGTCATAACTACATGGCATCTCAGCTGGTTAAGTCTTTGACAGCATAGTACTTCTCAATGTTTCTTACAAAGCCCACCCACCTCGAGCCTGTGATTTCTGTTTTACCCCGAAATAAATCACTATCCTAGAAGAAAGGAGTTTCCCATGACCTGTAATGTGGTAAATACAGTAGTGCATGGAGTGGATAGAGACTTCAGTGGTAGGGGTTCACTTACTGTGCCTGCTGTGTCGAGAATTTCAAGCATACATTGCTGCCCATCTACCTCCACTTGCTGGGAGAAAAGAGGAAACGGATCATGTCAAGCTGTATTTCAGGTCAATGGGCACATCATGGTCTATCATTAAAATACTGGAATGAATACATGCTAAGAGGCAGATACAACAGTGAAGGAGATAATGAAGGAGGAGATAGTACATGTAAAAGCACAGGAATTCAAAAAAAGGAGAGAGAAAAAGAGAAGGATGAAGGGAGTTGGATGAGAGAGCAAAAATATCATGAAGTGAACCTGAACAGCAGCTGCTAACAATCAGCTCATTCCAACACACTTCCCCCCCCCCCCCCCC